TAGCCTGTGTTAGTGTTCTAAAAGTGGATAGATAGTTAACAACAGGAGGCTCCTTGCGCCTTACTGACAGATGATGTACTCTGAAATGTGTAACAGCCTGAGAACTAGTACAAAAAGGGTAGGTACCATACTGCTCAGATGGTATATTAGTTAGATATATACGAGGGGTTAGTTGGGAATTTCAATATGACAGAGTGGATGCTCAGAAAGTTTAAATAGATAATCTTCTAGTAGGTTATAGGTACAGCATCTAGTATACAACCTTAGAGCGGACTATTTAAATAGGCAACCAAAAGTTGCATACGTGACTAGCTGTATTCTTTTTTCTGTAAAAATAGTTGTAATAGCTAACCTAATATAAAGTCAATAAAGTATCATCACAAGTATAGCCTTTAACAAAAAAAAAAAAAAAAAAATTTAAGAATTATGTCTAAAGTAATAAAGATACATTAATATTAAAATTACTCTAACTTTTTATATACTTATGATAACTTTTTGGATGTCAACTTATATACAAGTATATAGTATAATATAAATCAGCTTAATATAAAATAGAATCTTTTCTTTAAAATTTGGTATCTTTCTTAGATCCAACTTGTAAATTGTTATTTTCTTAAATATAATATCTTTCTAAATACATATTTAACTCAAATTTATATTACTTTATTAACAATTATTTTACTAATAGCTTATTTAGTTAACATTATATTAATCAAATATTAACTCTAACTTTATATGATGTTGGCTAAATAAACTTTCAGTAAAATAACTATCAGTAAGTAAATAGTATCAAACTTAATTTTTATATATGATCTGGTCTTAATATATTTAGAAAAGTTTGACAATATTATGCTTTATAAACTTGTAAAAAATTGCTAAAGTATCTTAAGCTTTGCCTTTTTTGTAAACAATAAAATAATATTTAGTTTTATATTTTTATAATAAATCTATGCAAAAAAAGAAAGTATGTATTAATTAAAGTTCAAAATAAGAAGTATTTTTAGAACTTTACATTTATCTGAAAATGTTTCTAAAATTTTTAACTTTTTAATTTATTATGTTATTTCTTTAACACATACTTGCAGTTTTTTTAAACCTTATAATTAGACTTTCTGCATATATATGCCTATCATATTTTTAATATATTTGCTAACAAATTTAATTTTCACAAATAGTATGATTTTTTTTTAGTTTAAAATTGTCTGAGTATTTTAGATTCAGAACCTTGTATTTAAAAAAAGAAGTAAAAAACAATAAAAAAGAATATAATAAAAACATATAAAAGTAAGAATAAATAAAAACATAAAAGCTACAATTCAACTTATGTTTAGCTTTGAGATCTTATTCTGACTTGTATTAACAAAGATCTTAACTGTATAGATTAGATCTATAATACAGTATGATAAAATCTTGCATCATAAAATCTATAGCTTATAGAATAAACTTTATATAAAATATAGTATATAATTAAACTAGTAATTCTTATTATAAAGAATTTTTATTGTTCTTTAATATTATATTATAATAATTCTTTTATATATATATATTTTTTTTCAGTATTAAGGTGACCTCTTTGATCTGAGCTTTTTATTAATACTTATAGTAGGTACATGTTTTATATAGATATATCTATAATAAACTATTAGACAAGTGTACAACTGATTATACATATAACTTTTTTATATTACCTATTTAAGGTATCTGCCTGAGGATTTTCTACCAGTTGTCATATCTAACACCTCTGCTTAGATGTTCTATTTAAACTCTCTAATCTAACCCTAGTATTAATTTTACCAAGTCACAGACCTGGATCTATTCATATTCAACCATAGGACTATAATCCTTAGACTATTTTTATCCTCAAGGTAAACCTACCAGAGTGAGCTGTATTCCTTTTTACTACTAACCTAGTTTGACACTATGGCCAAGGCCAACACTTGCAGTCAGGGTTACCTCTTAAACTGCTATTACACTTGTAAAGTTCACTTAAACTCTGGTATTCATCTTTCCAACTTCTTCTCCATCATCCCTACTAGCCGCAACTCAGAACTAACTGATTTACCAGACTTCCAATTCAGATGGCCTGATATGGTATACTTATGTATCCTTTTCCTCTAGCAATTCTGGTAGCCTGGTTGGTCATATGCTCCTCTACACATTTTTGTCATTCAGTTTATCTAATCAGTTCCTATGAAGGTGTTTCATGAGCTTCCATCAGTCCAATAGTACCATTGAAAGTTTGTGCTACCTCTTTACTCAGGATTTCTAAATGAGTTTCTGTCTCTTCAGTTTCTTAGCCTTCTACATCTGGTGATCTTATCGTGGGTTTGCCTGAAGTCTTATATGACATCAGTTTTATATTCCTCTATGTACATGTACTGTGTAACATTACACTTCACATAGATGCCCTGAGCTCCCAATGTCAGGTGAGACCTGACTTGGTGTATCTAAGATTACAGATGCCCAAAACCTAACTGATCGGCAAGAGACAGTTATCGTAATACAGGTATAATTTCCAAAATTCGTCATCTGTGGGAATTGAACCTTAGACCTGCCACTTGAGGGTTGACAACCTATCCACTTCACTAGGTTACCACACCCTTTCCATTATATAACATTAATATAAATAAAATACATTAATAATTAATAATTATATTTTGTATAATATGATAATTGATATGACTATTAAGTGCCTTATTCTATAGATAAACCATTTTTTCAATAACAACTAGACTATATGATCTACAATTTTTTTACAAAAACCAGAGAAGTTACAAGATACAACTTTTATATATAACAAGAAGATTGTTTTAAAATACAAAAAAGTTGCATACTATAATCCAATATTTGTTTATTACAACAATACATTATGATTTTGTTTTATAGCATATAAATTTTTTGAAATAAAGAAAAAATCCTTTATATACATGAAAACTTTAGGATATTACAAATCTAAATTATGAATTTTGTAATACAGTGACATTTAGGTTACAAGATATTAGTATTTTAAATTTTACTTTTAGGTAATGCATTCTTTCTGAAAAGCATTGTATTTGCACAAAAATACTTGAGTTTGTATTTAACCATACACTCATTCCTGGTATAGCATAAAGTTTTTATCAATACTACTGAACCATTTATGTTTTCTTCAATAATTTTTTGTTGCTATATCCTAGATTCAAACAATAATCAGTTATAATCTTTAAAAAATTAAATATTGATTAATTTTTATAATTTATTTCGAAATTTGGTTACGGCAATCAACATATATTTTTAAAATAGTATGTTTATTGGATTTTATGCTTTTAACAATCACTTTTCACTTTAAAGAATCGAAGAAAAAAATTTACTTACTAAATCAATTATGTGAATTAATGATATCATGTGATTTTTCGAATATTTGTTTATCATTCTTTATATATATGCGTATACTTGATCAAAATTTTTTTTGCCGTTGGTAGTTCTTACCATTCCTTGTTATAATAAATATCATCATTATTAAGTCATTCTTTAAACAACATTATTATAACATGGGTGTTAATAAACCGATTTGGCATCATTTTTGAAAAACTTGGACCAGACCCAGATTATAAACAAGGGCGTGCTAAATGTATTTAAAATTTATTATTTTAACAAGAAATTATATTTCTAGTGATTATCTTTATATATTTTTATAATTCATGAAAAATTAAGAAACTTTATTATATTCCGCGAATCCCGCGCGGGATTTTTAAAAAACTGCGATTTTCCCATCACTACCTATGACCAACTTTGCACGTAACTATGAACAATTTTAAACGATTACAATTTTCCAGTCCTTAGTGAAACTTGTATTTGATTATCTTTTTAACCACTTTCACATATGAACTATAGTATGTTGTTTCAAATTTTTGTTTAGTTTCGTAAATTACTAGATAAAGTTTCAGATTTTGCTCATAGCTAAAATGTAAATCAACTCTTATTGATAATCAGCAGCAATAAACATTTTTATAAATATTGAAGACATAATTTATGAGTTGCATTTGAGATATCTGAAGTAGCACCCGTTAAAATTATTACTTAATGTATAAAGTCTAATTTTAGGCGTTCAATTTTAGTCAGATATCTAGATAGGACGTTGCTCCAGATGCAACATAAATCATAAATCGTATAAAACCCGTGTCCCAGATATTCAAGTGAACATAGCCGAATAATTTAATAAAAATTTTATTCAACCTACTAAAATACAAATTATTAAAAATGGTACAGTACATATAACATTTAACTTTTATAATTAAATAATAGATATTTTTTTAGATATAAAAAAAAAACCACCAATACCCTTCTAAGTTACCAGCTACCCAAATAATTATTTAAATCTATATATTAGACTTTTTTTTTTGAACAAAAATGTGCACGAACGTATGCAAAAAGTCCGTGTAATCATTATACTAATAAATAATAATAGTTCTATAATACCATTGAATCATTGATTTCTAGATGAATTTCCGTGTGACATTTCTCGCAGTGTATCTAAAATATTTATCAAAAGACAATTTCATTATCATTCAATGTATGCATGAAAGTATTAAATTCACACAAGTATAAACCTATCAGGAAAAAAAAAACTTACCATGCCAATAGTTACTTTGAAGGCTTGTTAGAATTTGTTCCGCAGTTTGTTCATCCATCTCAGTATTAGCATCAATATCACTCCACACATTATTAGTATTAGTTAATAAAAATTCTTCTCCAGATGACATTGAAAATTCTCCTGATGAATGATCAAATGAACGTGTTCTGAAACCATAAGAATCCGAACGTCGGATCTCTGGTGAATCTATATTTAAAGTTTCACGAGAAGCTGAAAGCTGTTCTGAAGGAGATGTAATTGACATATGTTGTTGGTTCGTATTCATTGTATCTATTCTTAACGTCGGCAATTGTGCGTTGGGATCATCATTAACCATAATACGTGGCACTGAGATTTTGCAAATATATGAGCTGTTATTAAAAATAATTCATTTATGACAATATATATATATATTATTTTACCTGAATCATCTTCATTTATTATTTCAGATTTTTTGTTCCTGAAGGCTCTAAACTTTTTACGCCACAAAATTGTACGTAATAATGATTTTACTCGTTCACGATTGACACTATCAATTACTTTTTTCAATTTCATTTGCCGTTTAATATATTCGTGAATTCTATAAATTTAAAAGAAAGGATAATTAGGAAATTTAAATCTAAAGAAAAACAAAAAAGCTTTCAATTCTTAAACTTACTCTAAACATTTTTCATCATCTATCAGTTTATAATGAGCTAATAGTAGAAGCATATTAGTAAACGAGATTCCTTTTTCGTTTCCATTTGAATCTTTTTCAATGGTTATCAATGCTTCCTATAATTTCATATTAGACATATTAGATTATCAATAATTCTATGAAAAATATGTATTTTAATTAAAAAAATAAATACTTGATAAATAAGATTATAAGTTTTTCTCCTTTGAAAAGTTTTGCGAACGTCTAAACGACTAAGGTTCTGCCCCAATTTCTTAATATCAATATCATCAACTTTAAATACATCATTTTTTGGATGTAGAAAATCTAAATCTTCAGATAGTCTATGAACAATCCTCGAATGCTTCCTCAGATTTGGAATAAGAAATTCATCATCAAATATTCTAACTTTAAAACTTCCGTCTAGTTTCTAAAAAAAAATTAAGGTTATTTTAATATGATATTAAGAAAAATGATAATGATAAAAAAACAAATAGACAAAATACAAGTGACTCTCGTTATAGTGAACTCTCGTTAAAGTATAGTGAAGAACAGTTTATACAAAAACCCTTTCAATACAGTGATTTACCTGAAATTTACTATGAGGCTCTTGATATAATGCAGACAACTTCACAGCCCGATCGCTTCAAAATAACGAGTCACTTGTAATTGAAATGGTATAATTAAAATACATACTCCAAAGAACTTGCTAAGGTCTTTACTCTTGATATAACCTGCCCTGTTAACATCAATAGCACTCCAAGCTTTCTTAAATGTATACAACAAAAAATTAGTCAAGGAAAATAAAATAACAAATATATTTAAAATATATGAATTGGAACATAAGTAAAAAAAAATAATAATAAAAAACATGGAAAGGATATTTTCTAATTTCGTCTCGATTTACCGAAGAATAAGTTCCAGAAAGTTGATAAAAATATGCAAAATTATCGCCGACCACACCAACAAACATACTGAATATTATGTACATTGATAAAACGTTCCATGAAATAAAAAGGAAATATGCCCATGGTGGACTTCCACAATCCGATAATAAGTAGTTTGGATCTTGGATACAGAATGGAGGTGTTATTGTGTAATCATGCATAATAGAATTCCAATTTTCACTATCAAAAATAAGTAATATTTTTGATTGATTTATGGACAATATAAATGAATAATTGGTTAAATTATAAATTATATATATATATATAACAAACATAATAATTAAGTAGAAAATTACCCTGTAGACATTCTTATAAGTGTCAACATCGTAGTATCAAAAGTACGAAAGTTTACATGTTGAGTTCCATTTGGACCAAATCTTGTGAGACCAAAAATCTCCATATACATAATTGCATATATTACGAAAATAATAAACCAGACGGCAAATAAATTAAAGATCGATGGTATACTTGCACTATATAAATTCATTGTTAAATTAAAAAAAACCAATTAGATGATATTAAATTACATTTAGAGATTGGAACCGCTTAAAGATTATTTAACCATATAACGCTAACAGTTTAATTATTTAATTTAGCCAGCATTAATAACATTCTCAATAAGTTTTACCAATAATAAACATAATTCAGCCCAGAACTAGGAAACAAGTTTTATACGGCAAAACGGTCCCAATCCTTAAATTATATTGAAATATATATATATGTATGTACTCACACCATGTTTTTAAATAATTGATTCATAGGATCACTTTTTTGAAACAATTTAATCGTTACTAATACCAAAAAGAGTTTTTGTAATTGAATAGTCGCGTCAGATGTAGTACTAGGAGCAAAAGCTGGTATTGTTGTAACAGTAGTTCCAGTAATAACGATTAAATCATAAAGATTCCAAGGATTACTACGAAACACTTTCCATCCAAGACCAGCTAATTTCATTGAAACTTCAACAACGTATACTGAAATTAAGACAAGAAAAGCTATGTCTAAATATGAAAATAAAAAATATAATTCATTTATCAACAGTAATATTCAACGTAATAAAAATGATTTATGAAAAAAAATAGGTATATATTACTTCTTGTTATTTCCCACCATTGTGGAGCTCCGAAAAATTCTGTCATGAGCAAAAGAATATGTATGGCATAAAGTCCAGTCATAATATTGTATAATGTTCCTCTTTTTTCAACAGCATAATCGTAACAAAAAGCTCTAAATGGATTATGTGGTCTAACTTTTGGTAATTTAGATGGTTTAATTTGCCTCAATAATTTTTCAAGATTTAACCAACGAACTTGTTCTTGTGTTAAATACGCTACACCAGATTTTGATTGGAAACCTGATATAATTACACTAATAAATAATGTCAACACAAATACTGTTCCAACTAAATTAAAGACAAGAAAATATACAGCGTTCCATTTTGATGCATTAGGTTGAGGTTGACTATTATATCCAGTGATTGACATTACATTAAACATAATATTTATCCATCCTTCGTTAGATAAGGATTCAAAAAGTATCAATAAAGCTGCTTTAAATTCGTCAAAACTATAATGATATGGATTATCCCAAACTCTTGGAGTAAAAACATTCCAATTGAAAAGGGTTTGAGTATATTCACCCGTACAATCTGTGCTAACGTTTACCGCATTAGAATTGTCATTGCAACTGTAAAGAAGTCCAGCGAAAATGTTTTGTCCATAAAGAGCAAATGGTATAATCAAACTAATGGATAATAAAGATGCATCAAAAATTCGTGGAGCACCAGCAATAAGAATATAATAGAATGTATTCTTTATAGAAGTTGATAAATTAATCAACCGCAAAGCTCGAAGCGCTTTAAAAGATCGAATTATTCTTGCACTACCGAATGTATCTATTGGAATAATTATAATATTGACGTAAAGAGTCTTTATAATATTTGTAAAATAAAAAAAAAAACTTTAATAGATTACGCTTATAAAAAGTAAAAAAATTATTGTTTAAAAATAAACTTACACAAAGCACAAACAAATCTAATATATTCCAAACATTTAACATATAAGCATTGGGTGTAAATAAAAATCCATCAGCAATAATCTTGATAATGAATTCAAGTGTAAAGACAAAAGTGAATGCAAGGTCAGTAAACCAAAACCAAGTATATCTCGTCATGCCATGTTGTTCATAATATTGCTTTTGATATGTTGGAGTGGTTATGCAGGCAAGAACTACATTTGCTATAATACAAGCGTATATGAAAGCACTGAACAAAAAACTCCATGTTGGAGATGGAGGAACGCCTTGGATACGTTTTCCATAACTTGAGGGCACAAGCAACTGACAAAAATGTCGAATATGATTATGAGGAGATATACACCAAAGTGATGCTACATAATTTGGATGTGCTGCTATGAAATCAGCTTTTAAAGCTTGACGTTCTTGATAATTATCTATAAATTCTTCGGCTTGCCTCTCGCTTACTGGATCACTTAACGGGTCACTAAAACAAAAACAATACCAATTAATAATTAATAAATTAATTAATTTTGAAGTAATTGATATATTATTTCATGAACAAATAATTACAATGGGGCATCTTTAAAATCCATATATTGCAAGCTACTTCTGTTAAGGTCCAATTCATGCAACGGACCGCTATCAGTTTCTTCATATCCAAAAAATCGTTTCACGGACAATACAACACGATCCGTAGGTCCCATTATTCCGTAATTCGTGCTTTTCTGAAAGAAATAATATTAACGCTAATGATATACCACATAAAAATCCAAACAATATATACCTTTTTATTCACACTGTCATCATCTTCAAGAAGTTCTTTTACCCGACTTTTTTGTGTATGTAAAATTAAAGAAGAAGGTATGCTTTCAATGGATAATGGTTTTGGTTTTTCTTTAAAATATCTATAAATGTTCCATCTTTCAATCGCAACATCCTTCTTTATGGTAGGATCAGCATTTCTACGAAAAGTTTCTACTTGAATTTTATGCTTTTCTTCTTCTGCAATTGCAAAATTTTCTTGTACAACGGCGATAAACATGTTTAGAAGAACAACTATCCATGCGAAAGATAAAATTAATATTTTATATTACAAATATTACAAATATTACAAATATCATAAAGGTCTAGAATTAATCAATGATCTCAAAACTTACAATTTGATAAGCCAGTGTAAAACATAATAAATAAAGCTGCTATAATAGAAGTAGCAACAGATCCACTAACAGACTCATATTGGAAGACATTATAGAGCACAGTTGTCCAATCACTAGAAGAAAAAAGCTTTAAATGAAAATGAAAATATTAACATGAGAATTTTTACCAATTTTTAAATAGATGTATTATAATAATACATAATTACCTGAAACATAGCCAAGAAACCATTATAGATATCGCCAAAGGTCATTATGATTGGATTTGAATCGTTATCATTAGCAGGAATTGACCCACGCAATAATTGTATACACTATAAGATATTATATGAGATAAAGAAGGTTAACATAGATTATATTTATTTTATCACTTTAAATTTCGTTACTCACAGTTATAGCTGCAAAAAAATTAAGCATTAAAATGAACAGCACTAGATTGGCTAGACCCGCAACACTGCCTAAGACAGATAACTAAAAATAAAAAAATGGTAAATCAATAAATGAAAAGATACCTTAAAAAAAAACACCAAATAAAAATTCTGGAAAACAAATATTACCAACACATTCTTTAGACGAGGCACAGCGATAACAACACGATATACTCGAGCTATTTGAAATATTGTTAAATAAGGATACGCTGGGGAAAGCTTGATCATTGGGATTTGTATAAAGCATGTAATAATGGCCAACAAAAGGTCAACATTATTCGCGCGTGAACGAAAAAAGAACCGGAATTTTGGTGCATAAGAAAAAATTCTCAAAATCATCTCAAACGCGAGAATTAATGTGAATATTAGCTCTGATCGATCTATTTTCAAAAAAATAAAATTTTCATTATAAGTATCGATTCTACAAATAAAATGTACACATTATTTCTTTTTCATTTCATTTAACAATTAGATATCATACCTATAAATAATGCAGTGCTAGGAGAAATATCGAAAGTTCTACATCCCATGATAAATAAGTCAATAAATATGCAAAAGACCCATAAATATTTGATCTTTTTCATTATTCGACCTAATCGGTTTGTTTCAACCTTTTTATGATCTTTTAATGTCCACCCTCCTTCATCGTCCAACAATACTGGAGTAGATCTAAAAAAATTCAACTAACGGTCATAACATGACTCAATTACCTGAAAATAAGAATTAAACGAAAATAACAATAATTACTTGGATGTAGTAAACGCGGAGTGAGAAGTTTCTTCACGAATTTTTCCAAATACAGTAACGATCACGGCAACAAACAAGTTAAGTAGCCAGAAGTTTAAAATAAGGAGAGATAGCACATAGTATAATGTTGACCATCCATAATCGGTATCCATTGTTCTGTATAAAAGATCGGTCCAATTTTGAGCTAAACAAAAATTTTTTAAAACATTAAAGAGGTATAAATAAATGGATATGAAAATTTTTTCCGAAACAAAATTAAAATATTACCTACTTGCAGCGATCACAAAGGTTAGGATCATGGCGGAAAAAATATTATCATAAGACACAATATTGTTGAATGGATTTCCGGTTTCCTTATTTTTTTTTTTAAATCATATTTAATATAATTGTGTATTCGTACACTTGACCAAAGTATTGAATATGGAATATGTACAATACCATGCAAATCTGTCCGACAGGACAGAGATATCCTTTAGGGTATGGATGCACTTGTTTATCAATTAAGCTTATATAAGGGTGATGAAGACCGTCTGGTCCGATGTATCCTCCACACCATTGTTGTGAGAGTGTAAAATTGTTAACGCCATCAGGATCTACCCATACACATCGTCTTTGAAACGAACCTTTGAAAGCTTGAATGCCAATAATACTAATGATGACAAAAAAGAAACTAATAAAGGTGATTACATTAACTAATAAAGGAGCACTTGTTTTTAAAGATTGTAAGATAGTAGAACCACCACTAGTGACGGTTAACAATCTAAGACTCCTCAAAGTAGATAAAGCTTTGAATACATATACATGAGATACACCAGAAAACATTAATACTAAGTCAATCCAATAACAGATTACCGCTACCAAATCTATTCTATTAAAACTATGGCGAAGAAACGCAGTTTTAAAAATAGAATGTTTAGCATCGGATAGTAATTGTCCTTTTTGATTATTCACCGATGCAGTGGAGGATGGTTTTGATTTTGTTAGAGGAGTCATTTCAAATAACTCATCATTATTATCAGGATTGATGATAAAGCCAGATACGACTATGCGAGCAATAATTTCTAACCTTTTTTATAATGATGGGATTAGAATATTTTTAACTATTGATATATTATAGAAATAAAATTGTACATACGTGTATAAAATGAATATGACCAATAATCCATAGTCAATTATAGAGCTTCCCCAAGTGGTTCTTCGTGGATTAGAGTCACTGACAGTATCCCACGAATCAGCAATCAATAAGGCAATATTGGCCAAAATTAGAAATAGTATGAAAGTTTCAGTGGTTCTAATGTATTTTTTAAATATTTTTAAGCATTGGAAAATTGAATAAATAATTATAAATAATAAATTGAATAAAGAATTATAATAAATTATATATGTCATATCTAAAGTTGCTATCTATCTAAAGTAGCACCTGACTAGAATTACATGCAAGAAGATCTAATTTCAGGGGCTTAATTTTAGTCAGTTGCTGCTTTAGACATCTAAAATTGCAACTTCAAATGCGACATATATATTTATAAATAATAAATTGAATAAATTGAAACTTACGGATTGCTCAATATTTTATAAAAGAATAATCTCAGAGGATTATTTGGACCAAATATAAATAGGGATCGACCCTCTAATACCGATTTACCCTTTGAGATGGTTGGAGGAGTTTCTAAAGATTGGTTGATCAATGTTGCCTCTGATAAAGTAGAATTTCTTGGCTGAACACCCGAAAGTCTCTTATCATCCAATAGGTCATTTTCTTTTGAAAGTTGATCAAGTGGAACATTTGCCAAGTTAACAACACGAGAAGAAGCCCTAGTGACCATCTTACTTAACCTTCTAAACTTTTTGAACGAAGGCATGCGACTGAGCAGACGAGGGTCATGAGAGTCATTTTCATCTTGGTAGTCAAAAGATAATTGGGTATTTTTCTTTTCTAATGTGTGATCCACCCGATTTTTAGTTAGTTTGGCCGTATCACTATCATCAATGTTGTCGAATGCAAACTCACTGGTTAAACTTAGAGATTTGGTAATATCTGACATTTCGACATAATTCTCTTCATTATCATCAGATCCAGTTGTTACTCTTCTACTAAGAAATGAAGGCATAGTATTCGCTTGCTGGTCTCCTTGATCACGAGAGAAAATGTCGTCATCATGTAACGTTACTGAGGGTGAAGATGTTGGTAAAGAAATATTACGTGGATTATGAATTTGGTATTGCCTGGGATTGTTTTGAGTTATATTTGTTTCATTTTGACTTATAAATTCAACCAGTGGTACATCACTCGATAAACCATCCTTTCTTTCCATATTTTATCGAATTATTATCATATGTTTTTTTGTAAGGGAAAAAAGTTTACGAAGGATTGAATATATATAAAGGAATGAAAGATAAAGAATAAAGAGTATGTATACGGATTCTAGTTCGTGTAATAACATATATATATAAATAACATTTAATGTCCACAAATGTATGTCGATATATTTGTTAATAACTCTAATTATAGCAACGTGTTTTAAAATGGAATTGATTTTCCTTTTAAAGTAGTAAGGATTCTGAACACAAAAGATTGGTCGGCCTATAGCAAAGTTGTGTAATCAACTAGTATTTACGAATGTGCATACATCGATACATGTAAGCATAAATAAAGATCTGTCAAGCAAAGCCCCGGGCACATTTCGAAACCTTGAATGCGACCAAGTTTTGTCATGCATACTACTCTTTATGATAGGAAGGAGCGACTTTTAAACGATAGTTCGATATGAGATCATCGAAGCATAAGTAAGGTTAGACGATCTTTACGCACTAACGATTTATGTCATATAAGTATCAAACAGGAGGTTTCGGCTTGGAAGATCATCGTTTGCGCACTTACTTGTTTCTGAAAGGATACTAGCTTTTTTCTTCAAGATAGTTACAAATTGTTTGTTGATAATTAATTATTGATTAGTGCTGGCTGTGTTGTCGATCTTGCCAACTCATGTGATGATCACCAATCAATTTGTGAATTTCGATGTAACCACCCAGAAAATTTCAGTTCATTTTTCGGCCGATTGTTATTTCGGCATAATGGATCCAATAGAATTACAAAGCTGTACGCAAGTACGTACGTAACTTTTACATTTACTATACTAAAATACTAAATCTTCCCCTAGATCGCCAATTTTTAAAGTTCGTTTATGTTTGGGTAAGAGCTTATATTAGTATTAAACATTAGGCTAATATATAGTAAAATTGCTCAAGGAAACCTTTTAATTAGAGCACATAATGTGATTCAATATGCAGTTTTTCGAGAAATAAGTGATTTTTGGCAAAACGATCGTTTGTTGAATTTTCCTGATCGTGTTACGTTATACCTGATCTTGAAATGACATTGGTTTGCGCCACACTAAATCACGTGCTGTAAAATTTTAGTGGCGATCTAGGGGTAGTTACCTGCATTATAAAAGTTTTGGTAGCATTATTATATTTTATGTGTCAGCTCTATAAAGTTTTAGCCAACATTATGCACATATCAACAATATAAGCTAGCATCACCACTAGTGATGCGTAGCTTCCGTAACTATAGCTGATATCGGTTTAAATTCTGGATATCATTTTGCAAACTCACTAGCATCCGAAGGGTGATTAAAAAAGCTAATTTTTGTAAATCATCTGATGACATTACAAATCTGGTCAGCTAATAGAAAACGAGCTCAAAGTAAAAAAAATTTTTATAAATTATTTAAACTATGAAGTTGAATTTACAATCTTAATTTTTAACCCATTGATCTTTATAGTCATTATCAAATGCATGTCTGGTTAGACTTAATAAAAAAAAACGTCTTTAAATACACATATAGATAATCTTTAATAACAAGATCGCTTCATAACTAGTATATCGTTTCGTTTAATAAAGAGATAAAGAATGAATAGTATAAGTAAATTAAAAAGAACTGTCAACCATCAATAAAGATAATACACACACATAGCGAGTATAAGCAGTATAAAAACCAAAAAACTAATTATAGAACATAACATGTAATCGTACATATCTTCGTATACTCCATATCTGTATCTAATATATTGTACGTGGCTTTTAAAAACTTGGTCGAATAACCTATATTAAGAAAAAAATATTGAAAATATGAACTATAAATGTTTAACTGCTATTTTCAGGATTTTTTAAAAAAACTTAACGCTTATCAGCCAAGGTATAAATTACCTTGCTGATTACTGAATTACCTAACCTATAAGACAAAAAATACACCCCGTCTCTAACTTCTGAATTAATTAACCATTCTCTGGATTAATTTGATATGTTATAGAGTATAAAGTGTAGTTTATGATTTATATGCCACATCCTTTAACAATTCGTTTTCATGGCTGCCAACTCATTTGAAGTTAGCTGTTATATAATGTGTAATAAGTGACGATACATTTAGTGATTGACCAATCAGTATTAATGCCTACTATGCTATAGTTACTATGTGATCTTGTCAGTTAGTCTAGATTTTACACAGATCATTTGTGTAAAAATTTTAATAGTAGTCAAATAATCAATGCACTCAAGTTTTATAAATAAAATTTAAGGAAAATTTGCTTTTTGAGATTATTTAACCAAAAAGAAGCTGTTGGTTTAATTTCTAATATGAGTTTATAAATTCTTTAATATTATAATGTTCTTTTTGTAAAATTTCAAATATGATTAAAAATAAATCTTAAAATAATCTTGTTAATAAAATTGATCGAATTTTTTTTTCTTAAGTTTAAGTTCCTGCTTTTGAAGAGTGATGTGTTAATTAATTTTTTATTATTTGTTTATAATAATAAATAATATATATTGTTTAATCAAAAATAGGTTAATTTAATTAAATGTTATGTATTTATATAATATTGATATTTTGATTATTTTAATTAGTTTGGTATAGAGATTAAAACCAGTTTTATTTTAATTAACTAATTTATTAACTTTTTAAAAATTACAACTAAATATAAATCAGTTATAATACGCTTAGTTAAATCTGATTATCTGGTTATAATAATTTGAATAAATTTAATTAATCAAAATATACTTAAAAAAAGATTATATATTAAGTTAGATAACACTTAGATATGCAAAAGTTTTAAAGTTACTTATTTAATATAGTATAAATCTAAAGTATTTAAACAGATAATTTTTTAATTGATTACATATATGACAACTAATGTAAAACTTTTAGACAAATTACTTAAATAGTTGTACAAGTAACTAGTTATATTTTAATTTTTTTTTAATATTTATGATAAGATTATGCTTCTATCTTTATTAAATATTTAATTAAAATTTTATAGAGTATAATTCTGCTTTTAAAATATTATAAAAAAAATAAAAATTTAGACTAATTTATCTGTAGTCTAAACTCATCTAAATTTAAATATTAGTAATTATATATAAAAATTAGTTTAATATTTAATCTATTAAATATAATAAAAGTTTATTTTTAAACAGATAAAATTAAATAAAAGATAATATAATAAAAATATAAAAGAGTTTAATAATTAGTTGTATTTAAAAGATTAAGTTGTAGATTTCAAAATACAATAAAAAATTTAGATTTTGTAATAAATTTGATAATTAAGATAAAGCAAAAACTTTATAATAAATGTTATAGTTACTTTTTTGAATAACAAACTTGTAATAATATTAATAAGTTTATTTAATATTAGATCAGTTAAAGTTGAAAATATTAAAGGTACATCTGATATACTATAAATATTCATACTACTTAGCATCTTAATTTGATTATGTAAATTATTATAGTATTTAATATAGAATTAAGTATATTAGTATTAAAAATATATTGTAATAAGATATCTATAAGACTGTTTAGTAATTGATTAAATAAACAGATTATTTAATAAAAATAAAATCTAATTTGATAATATTGGTAACAAATAGATAAATATAAATAATATCATTTATATAAAAAATATAGAGTAGAAAAGATTATTTAATAGGATTTTAATTTAAAAAACTTAAGATTAGAAAACTGAAACTGTATAAAAAGTTTAAGATTTTTTAATTGTTATTGATATTTAGCAATGTAGCTTGCCAATTAACCTAATTAGAAATTTTATATCATTTTTTAAAACTGTTTTGTGTAATTTATAATATATAAATATGTGTATAACATACTATATAAATACTATAATAAATAGATAATTTTAAAGAGAAGTTTTTCAATTAAACAAAAAACTACAACTCTTTCTGTCGATTATTCAGACACAAAAAACAGCTAAAGAAAAAAGAAGATTTTAGCAAAACTAGTAATAAGAAACACTCCAAGTAGCTCTAAGCAAAAAGAAGCAACAACAGAAAAAGCAATAGACTTATAAGAAAATAGTCTATCTGCAAAACTAATAGCATAGTTACCAAAGAAAAAGCAGAAAACTTATGAAAAAATAACAGCAGTGAGGATTGCCAATAGACTCTGTAATGTAGATATTGTAATAGAATTTATTTTTTTCCCCTATATTAGTATATATTTATTTTTAGCTCTATATTATATTTTATAATTTTCTTAATATTTTTACATAGTTTATAG